CTGAGATTCTGAGATTCTGAGATTTTGAGATTCTGAGATTCTGAGATCCTGAGATTCTGAGATTCTGAGATTCTAAGATTCTAAGTTTCTGAGATTCTGAGATTCTGAGATTTTGAGATTCTGAGATACTAAGATTCTGAGATTCTGAGATTCTGAGATTCTAAGATTCTAAGTTTCTGAGATTCTGAGATTCTGAGATTCTGAGATTCTGAGATTCTGTGATTCTGTGATTCTGAGATTCTGAGATTCTGAGATTCTGAGATTTTGAGATTCTAAGATTCTGAGATTCTGAGATTCTGAGATTTTGAGATTCTAAGTTTCTGAGATTCTGAGATTCTGAGATTTTGAGATTCTGAGATACTAAGATTCTGAGATTCTGAGATTTTGAGATTCTAAGATTCTGCGATTCTGAGATTCTGAGATTCTGAGATTCTGAGATTCTGAGATTCTGAGATTCTGTGATTCTGAGATTCTGAGATTCTGAGATTCTAAGATTCTGAGATTCTGAGTTTCTGAGATTTTGAGATTCTGAGATTCTGAGATTCTAAGATTCTGAGATTCTGAGATTCTGAAATTCTGAGATTCTGAGATTCTGAGATTCTGAGATTCTGAGATTCTAAGATTCTAAGATTCTGAGATTCTGAGATTCTGAGATTCTGAGATTCTGAGATTCTGAGATCCTGAGATTCTGAGATTCTGAGATTCTGAGATTCTGAGATTCTGAGATTCTAAGATTCTAAGTTTCTGGGATTCTGAGATTCTGAGATTCTGAGATTCTGTGATTCTGTGATTCTGAGATTCTGAGATTCTGAGATTCTGAGATTTTGAGATTCTAAGATTCTGAGATTCTGAGATTCTGAGATTCTGAGATTCTGAGATTCTAAGATTCTGAGATCCTGAGATTCTGAGATTCTGAGATTCTAAGATTCTAAGTTTCTGAGATTCTGAGATTCTGAGATTTTGAGATTCTGAGATTCTGAGATCCTGAGATTCTGAGATTCTGAGATTCTAAGATTCTAAGTTTCTGAGATTCTGAAATTCTGAGATTTTGAGATTCTGAGATACTAAGATTCTGAGATTCTGAGATTCTGAGATTCTGAGATTCTGAGATTCTGTGATTCTGTGATTCTGAGATTCTGAGATTCTGAGATTCTGAGATTTTGAGATTCTAAGATTCTGAGATTCTGAGATTCTGAGATTCTGAGATTCTGAGATTTTGAGATTCTGAGATTCTGAGATCCTGAGATTCTGAGATTCTGAGATTCTAAGATTCTAAGATTCTGAGATTCTGAGATTCTGAGATTCTGAGATTCTGAGATACTAAGATTCTGAGATTCTGAGATTCTGAGATTCTAAGATTCTAAGTTTCTGAGATTCTGAGATTCTGAGATTTTGAGATTCTGAGATACTAAGATTCTGAGATTCTGAGATTTTGAGATTCTAAGATTCTGCGATTCTGAGATTCTGAGATTCTGAGATTCTGAGATTCTGAGATTCTGAGATTCTGTGATTCTGAGATTCTGAGATTCTGAGATTCTAAGATTCTGAGATTCTGAGTTTCTGAGATTTTGAGATTCTGAGATTCTAAGATTCTGAGATTCTGAGATTCTGAGATTCTGAGATTCTGAGATTCTGAGATTCTGAGATTTTGAGATTCTAAGTTTCTGAGATTCTGAGATTCTGAGATTTTGAGATTCTGAGATACTAAGATTCTGAGATTCTGAGATTTTGAGATTCTAAGATTCTGCGATTCTGAGATTCTGTGATTCTGAGATTCTGAGATTCTGAAATTTCGGATATTCTGAAACTCCAAAAATCTGAAATTCTGAAATTCCAGATACTTCCCAACGCAAGCATTGAATTTCGCATTCAAGGACACGTACAAGAACATTTTCCAAAAAGGAGTGGACCGTCAAAAAGAGTTCTGGAAGTTTTTCGCTGGAAATCTGGCGTCCGGTGGAGCAGCTGGAGCAACTTCTCTCTGTTTTGTGTATCCTTTTGATTTTGCAAGAACCCGATTGGCAGCAGATGTTGGGAAAGCAGAAAATCGAGAGTTTAAGGTGGGAAAATTTGGAAAAAATGAGCCAAAAATCATGAAAATTGACTTGAAAATAAGCTGAAAATTTGGAAAAATGGCTTAAAATTAACTGAAAATCATGAAAATTGATCTAAAAATGAGCTAAAAATCGTAAAAATTGATTTTAAAAGACCAAAAAAAAGTATTTAAAAGTGGTTGAAATTGAAAAAGTTGACTCCAAAAAAGCCAAAAAAAATGTGTATTTTTGAATTTTAGAATTTTCTTTCAAAACTACAGTAATCTTTTTTCAGGGAATCATGGACTGTTTGGTAAAAACTGCAAAATCCGATGGGACCATCGGATTGTACAGAGGATTTGTGGTTTCGGTGCAAGGTGAGCATTATTATTTTTGAAAAATTCTAAAATTCGAAAATTCAAAAAAAGTCAAAATCTAAAAAATTTAGGAAACCGAGTTTTAAATTCAAAAAGTTTTTGAATTCCATAAAAATCCCAAGATTCTGAGTTTTTCCAAAAATTGAAATTTTCTGAAAATAGTACTTTCTGAATAGTTTAAAAGTTGAAATTTGTGGAATTTAAGATTTTTCAGAATTTCTAATTTCACCGAATTTTGGATTTTTGAATCATTTTTCTTTTTTTTAGAAAATTTCGGATTTTCAAGTTTTCTGGAATTTCGAGAATTTTTGGGTTTTTTTGTTTTTTTTTTCTCAAAGTTTTTGAATTTTAGGAATTTCAGATTTTCTTGAAATTCGAAAAGTCCAAAAAATTTCAACATCCTTAGAATCCTAAAAACTCCAAAAAATCAAAAATTCGAAAAATTCAAATTTTTTCTAAAATTTCAAAATTTCGAAAATCCCAAATTTCCAGGTATTATAATCTACCGTGCTGCCTATTTTGGAATGTTTGACACCACAAAAACCCATTCACTCCCGACGGTCAACAATTAAACTTCTTCAAATCATGGGCGATTGCTCAGATAGTTACAGTATCCTCAGGAATCCTATCGTATCCTTGGGATACGGTAAGACGGAGGATGATGATGCAATCGAATCGAAAAGACGTTTTGTATAAGAATACAATGGATTGTTTGAGGAAAATTTTTAAGGATGAGGGACCGATGGCACTATATAAAGGAGCACTTTCGAATGTCTTCCGTGGGACTGGTGGAGCATTGGTGTTGGCGATTTATGATGAAATTCAGAAGCATATTTAATTCTTTTTTTTTTTTTGGAGAATTCTCAAATTCTAATTTTTGAATAAAATTGATTTTATGATTAAAAAAATACATTTTAAGTCATAAATTGAGAATTTTGGGGTTTATTTCATCAATAATCTCTTGAACAACGAACTGAATGTCTTCTTTTGTTTTGATTTAAAATGTCGCGGTTCTAAAACGTCGCGGTTCTAAAACGTCGCGGTTCTGAAATGTCGCGGTTCTAAAGCGTCGCGGTTCTAAAATGTCGCGGTTCTAAAACGTCGCGGTTCTGAAATGTCGCGGTTCTAAAACGTCGCGGTTCTGAAATGTCGCGGTTCTAAAGCGTCGCGGTTCTAAAATGTCGCGGTTCTAAAACGTCGCGGTTCTAAAATGTCGCGGTTCTAAAATGTCGCGGTTCTAAAACGTCGCGGTTCTAAAATGTCGCGGTTCTAAAATGTCGCGGTTCTAAAACGTCGCGGTTCTGAAATGTCGCGGTTCTAAAACGTCGCGGTTCTAAAATGTCGCGTTCTAAAGCGTCGCGGTTCTAAAATGTCGCGGTTCTAAAACGTCGCGGTTCTAAAATGTCGCGGTTCTAAAACGTCGCGGTTCTAAAATTTCGCGGTTCTAAAATGTCGCAGTTCTAAAATTTCCCGGTTCTAAAATGTCGCAATTCTAAAACTTAGCGGTTCTGAAACGTCGTGGTTCTAAAATTTCCCGGTTCTAAAATGTCGCAATTCTAAAACGTCGCGGTTCTAAAACGTCGTGGTTCTAAAATGTCGCAATTCTAATACGTCGCGGTTCTGAAACGTCGTGGTTCTAAAATTTCGCGGTTCTAAAATGTCGCAGTTCTAAAATTTCCCGGTTCTAAAATGTCGCAATTCTAAAACGTCGCGGTTCTAAAACGTCGTGGTTCTAAAATTTCCCGGTTCTAAAATGTCGCAATTCTAGAACGTCGCGGTTCTAAAACGTCGTGGTTCTAAAATGTCGCAATTCTAAAACGTCGCGGTTCTGAAACGTCGTGGTTCTAAAATTTCGCGGTTCTAAAATGTCGCAGTTCTAAAATTTCCCGGTTCTAAAATGTCGCAATTCTAAAACGTCGCGGCTCTAAAACGTCGCGGTACTAAAATGTCGCAATTCTAAAACTTAGCGGTTCTGAAACGTCGTGGTTCTAAAATTTCGCGGTTCTAAAATGTCGCAATTCTAAAAAGTCGCGGTTCTAAAACGGCATATATCGGTATCGATAGCACACACTGGGCGCTACTAGAAAAACTTTATACGTTTGTCATTCCCAGATTGATGACAAACTTAATCTCTTCGGGTCACAAAGTTATCAAAAATGGTTCGTGTTCAGGCTCATTTTGATGACAATTTCATGCTAAACTTGAATTTTGGTTTCAAATTGACAAAAATCTATCTCTGAAGGTCCCAAAACATCTGGAGACAGTAAGACGAGACGCAGTGAAACTTTAAGGGAGAAATTGGGCACCGTTTGGTGAATAGGGCGGCGAGAGAGCATTGCTTTTCAGGAGAGAGACAGGGAAAGAGAGAGGAAAATGGTCAACTGAGTAGCTACAAGGCTATGTGTTTGGGTTGTCTATTGATTNTCTTTATATTGGGAGTTTTCTTTTTTTTCAGAATTTTCTAGAAAATGAAATCCTTCATTTTCAGATAGTTTTCACCATGACTTCGTGGGTAGAAGTCTCCTTTTTTCATTGATTTTTCTAGAAATGTGAGTTTTTCGTTGAAAAAATTGAAATTTGAAGTTTGCTTTTTCAGATAACCCCTCCCCCCCCCCCCTTTGCGCATAGATGCCTACTTTTGGTCTGAAAATTGTGAGTTTTTTTTGGAATTCCGAGAATATTTTTTGAAAAATCCAAAAATCCCAAAAAAATATATAACTTTTAAAATTTGGTCAAATTTTTGGGTTTTTTTTTGGAAATCACCCAATTTTTGAAATTTCGCAATAGTTGGAGATTTTTAATTATTTTTTGAGTTTTCTGAAATTTCTAGGTTTGAGAACTTTGAAATTTTGTTAAATTTTAACAAAATTGCTGAAAGTTTCTGTTTTATTTGAATATCTTTACTATTAAAGGTGGGGGGGGGGGGACAGGAGATTTTTCGTAGTTTTTTTGTAGCTAGAGTATGCATTCTACCGTCACGGTGTACAACGCTTAATGTCACTCTGCGTACATCTGTCATCCTCGTCTTTATGTATGCAATCGGGCGTGCGCCTTCTCTTTGCCCGCGTGGCTCAGTCGGTAGCTCCGCGTGGCTCATTCGGTAGCGGCGCCGCACCCTCAATCATAGCCCTCACAAGTTCAACTCCTCGAGAGGCATCTTTGAACGGAATTTCGAGAACATTATTTTTTTCATGTCCCCCCCCACCTTTAACAATCACCAAATTCTGTGTGTGAGTGTGTCCGTTTGTCCCCGTAACGCCTACCTTAGAGAAGTCACTAATACACCAAAATTTCTCAAATTTTCGCAGATGACCCGAAATAGCAGCGAGATGATGCCCGACTATTTTACTTTTCAAATGTTTTTTTCTGACGTCATCTGGAGACGTTATTCTGTTTCTACGGAGCAAATTTTTCAAAAATGATTAAAGGTGGGGGGACATGAAAAAATAATGTCCTCGAAAATCCTTTTAAATATGCTCCTCGAGGAGTTGAACTTGTTAGAGCGATGATTGAGGGTGCGGCGCCGCTACCGACTGAGCCACGCGGGCAAAGAGAAAGCGCACGCCCGATTGCATACATAAAGGCGAGGACGACAGCTGTACGCAGAGTGACATTAAGCGTTGTACACCGTGACGGTAGAATGCATACTCTAGCTACAAAAATCCCCCGTAAATTCTCCTGTCCCCCCCACCTTTAAAGCAATTTTTACGTCATTCCCGTCTAACTTCCCTAATTTTTTTTTTCGTTTCGAGCACCACTTCGGCAACAATGGATGATGGCAGCGTCAATCCTCAATACATCACCGTCGGCATCGTATTCATCATTCTCTGGTATTTCTTCTTCTCAATCGTGAGTTGATCTAAAATGGTTTTCTTTTTCCAAATTATCGATTATTTTTTTAGCGCATGACATTGGCCGATGGAAGAAGAATCTGGCCTGCAGATGCTGTGTTTGGAGCTGTCGCATACTCTTTTTCGGATAGCAGCTTGTTTCATTAAAGAGGAGGAAGAGGAAGAGTGTACTGGACGGATCGAAACAGTTGAATGCGAAATTGAGAATGTCATTGATGCCAAAACCAAGGAGGACTCGGAGGACGGAGGGAAGAATGGAACTTCGGAGGTGAATCATTTCGAAATTGTTGTTTTCCCAAAGGCTAATGATGAGGAGCAAAACGAGGCCACTGACAAGACCGAAACGGTTCAAAGCGATTCTGATATGAGCATGGAGACTGCACTCGGAGGACCACCAGGAAGAATCGAGCTCGTTTCTTGAACATCCCGTGGAGCAGTCGACGGAGAATTTGTATATTCAAGAATAACTAATTCATTTTTGATCCCTCAAATATAAATAATACCTATCACATCTCTATCGCAATCTGATTTTTTGCTTGAAAATCTAATTTAGTTCAGCAAGAATTGGGGAACATTTAAATTGGCTTCTGGTATGCTTTCTGAAAAAAATATGTTGCTCAGATACAAAATCCCTATTGAAAACTCACTTTCGACTCTTCCAATCCATACTTTTCTGTCAGTTCTAACTTCTTTTTCAATTCCATTTTTGACTTTTTAATAAGAAACTTCTCACATTTTTTGATAGCCAATGGGGTTTCATACATATCGGCGATTTGAAGGATCCTCTCAACAGTGTCATCTGGAATTGCTCATTCGAAAAAAAATACGATAAGTACAGTAACCCACCATCAATTGCGTCTTCTGCATAGATTACTTCAAGAAAGCATTGAAAGTCATCAGGATTTACATCTTTCAATTCGATTTCTGATTTTTCAGATTCTTGAAATTTTCCCATGAATAGAGTTGCAAAATAAGGAGATTGAGAGGCTAGGTACTACAAAAAACATTATTGATGTTTTGAATGTTTTGGAAATTTCGAAATTTTCAATTTTTTGTGAATTTCGGAGTACTGTACTTTTTGGATTACTGTACCTTGTCATGCTTATACTCATTTTAAAGCATATGATCTGTTAAATCCGAAAACTTGAAAATTCCAATTCTTCGAATATTCTGGAAACCCTAAAAATGGTTCAGAGCAAGTCATCTGCCAAATGTCCTTTTTTTGCGGATTACTGTATTTTTATAGTTACTGTACCTAGTCATGTTTATACTCATTTTGAAGTTCAAAACCTGCTAAATCTTTTAGATTCATATCAAAAAAATGACGCACCAGTTTTGAAATATAAAATTTTCGATCCTCAATCTTCAATACCACATCCGAAAATTGTTTCATTTCCTCACCAAAACTTCTCAATTCTTCTTTTGGAAATCCAATCATTTCTGTTATTTTCACATGAAATTCCACTTCCAATTTTCCATCATTCAAATATTCCTCCTCCATAGTTTTCCAGTCAATCAAATCACAAAAAAACGACTGGTCTAAAAAGAAGACCTTCATTTATACAGTCGTTACAACACAACAGATGGATTACCAGAAACTTTCATCACTCCACTTCCAGACTCTAAACTAATTTTTTTCTTGTTTTTTGAGAATATCTTCGTAGTATAGTCAAATTGAATTTCTTGATTTACCGACAGATTTGTGTGTAAAAACAAATTGAGAATTTCGTTCCATTTGTGGATTCTTATTTTCCTGAAATTCTAGACTGGATTTCAAGAAAAAAATAGTTTTTTTACTTACCATTTCACTCCAAAATATTCTTCTTCTGGACTAGAGAGACTTTGACTATGTTCTAGTTCCCCAACATTTTCAAATTCATATTTCAGAGTGAATTCTTTTCCAGTCATTGATCTGAAAATTGGAAAAATTGTTTTCTAGGATGAAATATTACAAACACGCTCTATCGAAATACAGTTAATTTTCGAAAAATAGCAAATCCTATCAAGAAAATTAAATAGAATTGAAAATGCTGAAAAATCAGCATATTTAAAAGAACTGAATGAAGAAGAGCAAACTTTTTATTATCATCCCTTCTCAAACATAGAGAAATAGAGGAGAAAGAGGGGAAATGTGTAAACAGAAACATTGATAAGAAACGTAGTGATTGTGTCTTCTTTTTTGGGGTTATTTCTTTTTTCAAATAATAATTTTTTCAACTGAAAAGAAAAGAGAAGAATTTACAATTTTTAAACTCAATGACCGAGAAAGAAATCATTCGAAATTATGAATTTAAAGATGTTGAGAAATTGAAAGTAGATCAAGAACTGCATGGTCCAGAAGAAGAAGAATTTGGTGTGAAATGGTAAGTAGAATGACTATTTTTTAACTATAATTATAGGACAATTAACCTACAGAAGTGCGACGACCGTATTGCAATATTCACACACGCAAGTTTGACTGATAATCAAGTGATTCATGCTGATTGTAACATGAAAATATTTTTAAAAAAACTTTTTTTAAAGATGGTGTACGGTGAAATTTTTTATTGCATCAAAATGTGCAAAAATGCATGTAGATTGACATAAAAATAAAGAAAGAATTCAAAAAAAAATTCCTTCATCGAGAAAAACGCATCGAAAAATACGCTGAAAGCCCTTAGGGACGAGGTTTTTTCTAGGCCGCCCGGTGAGTAAAAGCGCGCGAATTCAAACGTTTAAAATTTTTTCGCTCGTTTTCACTGTTTTTTCAAATTTTCCGATGTATGTGGAAGAAAAATTGACAAAAACCCGGAAAACTCTTGAAAAAAAACCGAAAAAAAAGTGAAACATGCATTTTTGCACATTTTGATGCAATNCATTTCACNGTACACCACCCTTTTTAAACCCACCAGTTTTGAAACATGGACAGTTTTGAAACTTCAAGATAGTAGTGTAAATCATCTGGATCTACATTTTTCAATTCGATTTGTGACTTCTCTGATTCTTGGAATTGTCCCAAAAATAGAATTGCAAAATAAGGAGATTGAGAGGACAAGTACTGGAAAACCCCTTAAATTTGTATTGCTCAATTTCGTACAAAA